ATCTGCCTTTGACTATGAATTAGGAAATTGGGCTGCTTAAGGATTTGTTTCTGTTTTTATTCAGCAGATAGAATTTCTGTTCAGTTGCCATCTCTGAAAGTGATCTCCGCCCAGGAGGACGACAGGTATGTGCACTGTGTAGCCTTTGCAGGTTGACATAACCTCTCACCTGCATTGGGTTGCCTTTGTCTTTTGCTGTTAGGAGTTCAGGAATGTTTTAGACTTCGTTTTTGCTTATTTTCATTATGAAATGTTAAATTATTTCCTCCCCTTAGATATTTCCTGTCAGAATTTTAAATAAACGTAGTTGCTAGGTAGACTTGATGAATTCCCCCGACCCCCACTCCCCCCGCCAGGGTTTTACCAGTAAGAATTACATAGGCCTGAAGGAACAGTCGAGTTACTCTTGATCTTTTTTTTACATTGATTATTATTATTTTTACTGTTTTTCCCCCTCCAGAGATCAATATGATGTTAAAAATGATGAAAGTAACAGCTCATCCATTATCTTCGCCGAGTTGACCTCAGAAAAAGAAAAACTCTTAGGAGAGTCTGGCATTGAAAATCAGAATAACAAATTGGTGAACTATTCCCCCAATCTAGTCACAAGAGACGCCAGTGGATTTGAATTATCCATTGGGCTCCAGGAAAATGGCCTGGCTGAGTGGTCTTCCAGATCGATGGCTGCGAACCAGCTGCCACTTAGGCTTAATTCAGACTTGGAGGGGAATTTCACATCCACTGAGGAATCGTCTGAAGAAAACTTAAACATGGTGGGACAGACAGAGGTAGATTCCTGTTTACTCATAATAATTGTACAGCGGACTGCGATTAGATATGGCCGCCCCTCTTCCTCAGCTGACTTCCCCCTGTTGTTCCTCCCTCTCTGCTCTAGCCCTTCTGTCCCATGTTCAGTCTCTTCTGTCCACATTCCCTATGTATTTGAACTTCACACCTTCCCTTAGTTAACTCGCCCTTTTCTGGCTTATTCCTTCCTTGAGATAGTATCATATATGTTCCCCTGGAGTGGGAAGCATGGTGCACAGTCTGTTTCTGTTGTATGTTAATATGGGTTATAAATATATGTTTATGCAGAAAGATTTTCTACATTTAGAACATGGCTTTCAAAGGGTTCGAGTAGGATTACCAGGACATGTTTCAGGCAACTCTTGTTGAGGGCTACACTGATGCGCTGGTGAGACTCCAACGTACTTGCTCCAGTGTCAAGTATTAGTGTTAAGAAACTTGAAGATTAACAGGGTCTGCACATAACTGGTCATATTAGATTACAAAGCTGTGTATACACACGCAGAATTAACTCTTATTGTCCAGGAACACGTGGCCGTGTGCATGTGATTTCTTATGTACAATGTGAAGCCAACCAAACTGTCTGTATGCTGTGGGGTATACACAGAGGAGCAGATAGCATATAGCTGTCCTTTTATACTTGACTAGAGGGGGCCCAGTGCACAAAATTCG